GATATCATCAAGAACAAATAGTTCCTTGGAAATTACAGCTGTCTGTTCATTTGTTTTCAACATGATCTCCATTTTTATCTCTTCAGTTTTAGTAAGCCACAGGCAGCTTTGTTCTACTACAAGCTGACGTAGATGATTAAACCCATCTCTCACTTTCTGTCTCTCTGCTTCTACTAGTTGCTGCAGTAAAAAGGAGAATTTGGAAGGGGAGGAGAGCATATCTATTAATTCTTAGGAATCATGGATGACACATCCAGAAGAACCATCATTGGGCTGGGCTCATACAATGTCCTAACCAGACAGTTCAGTTTGATAACATTCAGCTCCTGCGTCCATCTAACATGTTAATTTGATCACAAGGATACTGAGGAATCAAAACCCACTTATTTTTATTTTAGCTTAGTTTAACTATATTAAAGGTAACAGTACAAGGAACTACTAGATTGGGAATAGTCTGCCTTTACCATTAAAGATGAGACTGAAACAGCAAATTCTTGATTCTTATATTTAATAATTAGACCTGGGTTCAGTGATTTGCAGTTCTATTAATTCCAGTCAATATAGTGAGAGAGCTATTGCTGTTATAAAAACAGTTATAAAAAGGATATCAATGGAGGCCTTGATGTTCTATGAACTTAGTTGTTGGTTTGCAGAAGTTTTATTACCCAACTAACATCAGTAAAATAAGTTTTCTGGCACTGTTGATGTTACCTAGTAAGGTATGAAATGTCTGCAAGCAAACAACCAACCTCAGAGAACACAAAGGACTCCACGGTTCAATCCTGAGCTACATATATATCTTTCTACAGTATTGGAAATAGGATATCATGATTATTCACTTTCTCAGTAGTAGCAATACCTACAATCAGGTCTTGACTTTGTTTTTCTGTATCTGAGAGATGCTCCATAATCACTTTTTTCTCCTTCCTTAGACTCTCAATACTGCTTAAAAATTGAGCCTGAAAGAGAAACAAACAAATGGAAGCAAATACAAGAAGTAGCATGCAAGTAGACAGCTGGCTGATGAGTTTTAAAGCAGCATGGACATTCTTTCTAAATGCTTTCTTTGTTTCTTATTCCATATCCAAATTTTATACTCAAGCTCCTGAAGATTCTCGGGAGATTCTGCCCTCTTTGGCCACCCCATCATCTCTGTTAATTGTATTATTATGAAACCAACATATATTTTTCAACCCCACGTGAGCGCCCTACCTTGTACTCTTCAGCAGCTTGTGCCACAGAGATAACATCATGAGTCTGGTGCTTCTGGGATCCATCACAAAGTAAGCAGACGGGGACAAGATCATCTTTGCAGAAAGACAACATTGCCGTTTCATGTCCCTTACAGGTTTTGCTTGTTCTTGCCATCTGCTTTGCCTGATCACTCAGCTGCCTGATTAAGTGGACGACGGTAGCCAGCTGCCCATTTGGCTTAAAATTCAACCGAGGAACTGCTACTTTGCACCGAGGGCAAGTGGTCTCGTCAGAAATCTGCCCCCAGGACTTCACAATGCAGGCATGGCAGAAGTTGTGCCCGCAGTCAAGAGTCACAGGTTCTATAAGATACTCCAAACACACAAAGCAAGTTATTTCTGACTGTAGCTTCATCCTAATGTTCCCAGTAGCCATGCTGTCCGAAATCACAACAACTGAAGTTGAGCGTGAGGTCTCTGTTCCCACAAGAGCCTGGGCAGTTTTAGCAAGCACAGCTGCAGCAGTTCCACCAGAAAGTAAGCTGGATGAGGAAAAAGAAGAGAGAAAATAGCAATGGGGTGGGGGAGAGAGAGTTCCATCTTCAGAGCCCTCCTTCCAAAATGTCCTAAGTATCTCTTAATCAGTCACAATAGAGCTGGAAGGGACCTTGGAGGTCTTCTAGTCCAACCCCCTGCTCAAGCAGGAGAACCTATACCATTTCAGATAAGTGACTGTCTAGTCTCTTAAAAACTTCCAGTGATGAAGTACCCACAACTTCCACTGCTTAATTGTCCTCACTGTTAGGAAGTTTCTCTTTAATTTCAGGAAAAAAGGGGGGAGGGGAGGAAAGAATATGCCTTAGCTTCCTACATTGCTAGTGTCAGAACCAAGCAAAAAAATTTTATGCCATCTAGAGTGTAAATATATGCTTCAAAATGCAGTATAGTGGTTAAGGTATCACACTGGCACTAAAGAGACCAGTGTTCACCGACACAAACGGGCAAAACCCCAGAATATAAATCAACAGCAAACAGCACTCCTTACTAGCACTGCTGAGGTTGCCTAATTAGGGTAATGAAACATCTGCAAGAAAACTAGCAAGCTCAGAGCACCTCATTTCAACCCTGAGCTACAAATATTCTTCATTGAGACCAATGTTTACCTAACTGAGGGATTTGGGACCAATTGGTCTCTCAGCCCAACCTACCTAACAAGGTTGTTGTGAAGAATAAAGATAAGGGAAAGTATTTTGTAAGCTGCACTGAACTGAATGAAAATAGAGAGACGGACAGAGAGACGGACAGAGAAATGTGCCCCACCTGTGCTGGCCGGGGATAACGGGGACTCTAGTAAAACAAAATTGGAGAATACCCAGTTATGGAAGATGGTTGGAGCATAATCTAGTTTTGCATAAAAGGTCATACAAATACTTACTAGTACCTCTAGATGCCATCCTACTAAAGACTTACCCCCCAAAAAAAACTACACCGAGGGCACACACAACCAACTGCTAGGCAACTCTTGTTAAAAAAAACTAGAGTGCCGCCGCGTTTAGCATCTCCAAGGGGGTGTAAGAGAGGATCCCCTACGCCTTGATAAAACCACGGAACTACAATTCCCGAACGACCACGCTCACCAACTTCCACCCTCTTCTGTCTCGGAGATTCCGTAAGGACGTCAAGGAGAACCAGCTGCCTACTATTTTGTCCTCTTCCAATAGGAAAAGAGCTCCGCCCCCTTCACCAGTTTCTCTTTTTTTTCCCCCCTCGTTAGGTGTTTCAGCAATTGTAATTGGTCACGATAGGTGGCGCTGCATCCAATGGAATCTTTCGTTTCCTTTCATTCCATAATTGTGATTGGCCAGGGAGCCTTTAGATCGGCGTTTCATGGGATCCTGGCCTTCTCCTGCTTTCGTTTTGTAAAAGCCCGTCTGTTCGGATAGCGCCCCGGATTCTGCATTAAAGGAAGGTTGTCAGCTGGCATCTTGGCGGGTAGAGCCCCATTTCTGAGCTACAGAAGGAATTAAGAGAGGGACGTGATCGCTACGGGTTGAAAGATGCTGAGTAATTTTTGAGAACGCTTGCAAGCCGCTACTGATCCGAAGACGCTTCACAAACGTTCCCTTTTCCTAAAAACGTCCTTCCAGAGAGACGGAAACACGCTTCAGGTCACTGTCGCTGTCCAAGCTTCGCAAAATTCTCTGTAAATTAGACAAGTCTAGTACAGACGTTACCTTTGTCTTCCCCACCCCCATGCCCTGAAGAGGATTGTTTCCGTGGAAGTTTTTTGTATAATCCTCCAGCCTCGTTTACAGAATGTAGGGAATGGAGCATATAATGTAAAAAATTAAGAAGTGAAACAGAAATAAAGATAATATTTCCATCAGATCAAATTCAACTGTTTGAAATTCGTTAAAGATACAAAACTGCTTCACAATTGTATTCTTTCAGATTTTTTTTTAAATTTGCCAATCCAGCCCCAGATGGTCTTCATAATCCCCCCATCCATATGTTAACTAGGTCTGACCCTGATTAGCTATTGAGGATCAGTCCAGGTTGGTTAGATGCAATGCAAGCACAATTCAGCCCAAAATTTCTGTTGTTAAGTGAGACATTTGAGTTTTGCCACATTTTATGACCTTTCTTGCCACAGTTGTTAAGTGAATCACTGCAGTTGATAAGTTAGTAATACAGTTGTTAAGTGAATCTGGCTTCCCTATTGGTTTTGCTTGTCAAAAGATGGTAAAAGGGGATCACATGACCTTGGAACACAGCAAGTCATAAGTATGAACCAGTTGCCAAGCATCTGAATTTTGATCACGTGACCATGGGGATGCTACAAAGGTCGTAAGTGTGAAAAATAGCTATAAGTTACTTTTTTCAGTGCTGTTGTAACTTTAAACAGTCATTAAATGAACTGTTGTAAGTCAAGGACTACCTGTATCTGCTATGTTGCTCAAAAGATTCTATAGAGCATGAGAAATACTACCGTATGAATGGATAACCCTGCCCACTCTAAACTCGGCCTTCCAACAATCCCTCTGAAGAAGATTGGGGTCAAGCATGGGAGAAGTGAACAACCAGTAGCCAGGAAAGAAGTAACAAATTACTTTCGCCCTCACATATAGCAAGGTAGCAAAAAAGAAAAGGCAAAGAGGTGATGGTTAAACAGGAACTTCTTTAAAAATGAAGAGAGGCTTATGTGCATTTAGTGGCTAAAGTGTTTGAAAACTAAAAGAACTGCAAAAACAATGGGAAAAATACCCTTTATTAAAAACCACATATTAAATTGTAAAAAACAACTGGTTTTCACCTTTATTACAAAAAATGGTGTTTTTAAACATGAGTGTCCCGATCCATTTATGCTTAACTACAATTCAACTCACCGTGATTAACAAAAGTGTTTCTGTGTTCAAAACAACATCCCCCAAAATGATTGTCTTCAGCTCTTTTTCTCCCTATTAAGAGCCACTCTGCTTACTAAAACACTAATTGGAATTATCCATTAAACATTAAAATAATAAAATAGCTGAGAAGGTGTTCCTCAACATAGCACCCTCCAGCACTACCTGGGAATTTTGATCTCTCCAAATCTGGTGGACTTCACATCAGGTATGGCTCTATTAAAAACTACGTAGCAATGTTGTAAGGATCATCCTACATATCACATCAATTTGCCTGAAATTCACTCATCCCAAATGTTTGGTGCCGAGAATGGGATGGAGAGGAAGAACAAAGGGAAACTGATACCAAGAAAGAGGCCCCCGTGATCTAGAAACAGAAGGATTTGGTGGTGGACTTTCTGTCTTAGGGACAAATTGAGAGACGGGTTTTCCTCTGAAGCCAAAAGAAAGGGCAAATGGGTTCTCCAGAAAAAGAAGTTCCTGCAAAGGCATGGAGCAAGTTTCCTCTCTCAGCATCACAAAACGTCACCCGGCGTCCAGGATAGTTCAAAGAGACTCGAATCCTCTTGATCTCCCAGTTTATTTGCTCAGGAGAGAAAACTGGGGGGTTCATGTATACGCACAAGTGCCCCCACTTTGTCAGTGCCCAGAACCCTTTCATATTAATAAAGTTCTCGACACCCTTTCTCTTCATTGAAATTCTGGCAACTCCAACACCCCAGTCGCCCTCATTTTCCACAACAACATCCCAATAATGCCTGCCACCGAGGAACATCTCGCGTCCCAACACACACATCATGTGGTCGAATCTCTTGTCGTCCTTGATGAGGTTTTGACTACTTCTTCCCATCCAGACGCTTTTGAGATCTTCTGAGAGAATGAGCTTGGGATGAGCTGTGTCAGGATCCAGAGTCACATTTGCTGAGAAGAAACACAATTACAGTAAGTTGTCCCTAAGATGGAAGCTCTTCATCAAAAGCTCAAACATTAATAAAGAATGCTATCTGATATGCCTTTTGCTATATACCATGGGATTTATTCTTAACAGTGAAGATGCAGAAATGAAAAAAGTAAGATTTGTATCTCCTAGACCACACACAGCTTTTTAAAAGGTATGCCATTTTAGATCACCAACAAAAGTACTTTGTCCCATATTGTCAACGTTGATTGATGATAGGAATTGTAGGTAAGAATTAAGAGGAACCAGGTTGGAAAAGACTTTGCTAAATTGGGGGGTAAAGGAGGAGTTGCAACCACGAGGCTATTGGATTTGTCACTCTCCAAAGAAATTTTGGCTTTCAGCAACATCCTCCAGTTCACCATCCAACAACGCTGTAATCTGACATGCTTGACAATCAAAAGGAGGATATTAAAACAGTAAATCCTCCTGTATCAAATATCAATATAGGCAGAAATCACAGAACTACGTAGCATTGCTATAAATATTTTCTTCCAATTTAAAGGCATTGAAATGATCTCTAATAGAAAAGATTTATTCTTGTTTTGGGCAAGGGACCCAGGATGGGATAGATGGTGAAGCCCCATATAAAATATAAGCAAAGAGGTTTGTCATGTTTTAGCCACCCCTTCAGTCCCAGAAATATACCTTTCTGAATCTGATATCCAGATGCCAGGGTATCTAAGGAAGTAGAGAAACAGATTAAGTAACCCAACACAACATTTCTTCAAACAAAATATAATTTGTTGACAAAGTATCATGGACACTTCTTTTCAAGATCATCTAACTTAATAAATGTTGAGCTGATTCTGAATGTTAAATAATGCTTCCAAGCCTTCCAAATGATTTATAAAAATTAGAACAGTCATGTATCCTACAAGTTGCTGATCTTTGGCACACATAAAGGCAAAGCAGTATTAGATTTTTAGATCACAGACTAAATCATAATGCTGGTTCTGGCTCAGGGTGTTCTGTGAACTCAATTATAGTTTAATCAACACCCACAGTTAAACAACATGGTGTAACATGATACTTGAATCCAGTCTTTGCCTTCTCTAAATGCGAAATGTTTTCATATTTCATATTCCTAGTTATAGGTTGTATGCAAACAAAGTTCTGATGTCCAGTTACATACCGTATATACTCGAGTATAAGCCGAGTTTTTCAGCCCATTTTTGGGGCTGAAAAATGCCCCCCTCGGCTTATACTCGAGTCAGCGTCTTGAAGCAGCTGCTGCTGT